TTTTTTTTGTTTTTTTGATTATTTTCTTGAAAAAATTCTTTCAATATTATCACTGCCCTTTACATTTATAACTGTAATAGTATTTGCTTTTATTTTCTATTTATAGTTTGAGTAAATTTATCTTTACTTTCACGAAGTAATTTATATTATTATTTAGATTTTATCAATCTATAATGCAATTTTAGTTACATTAACTTTGCTAATTATAGTTGAAATTAGCTCAGTTGGTAATTCTAATTTTAAAATAATGTGAGATAGTAGAATTGTTAAAATAACTTTATTATACAGGCAACAAAATACTTTAATTTGGATCTTTTTAATAAATTTAAAATACAGTAATATATAATTTGTAACATCTTTACTAGATATTTGAAAGAATACTGTAAATATAACAGAAAAAATTTTAATGATTTATTTATGCCATGATTCAAATAATACAGTAATATAGAATTACTTTTTATTTTTGAATCAATCATTTAGAACATTCCTCTATGATTGTTTGTAAATTTAATCAACAAAGTGGATATTTTTTTTTTGTATTTACTGAATAGCGAGTTGTACTTGGAAATAACAATTTATATTCTGTTTAGTGTTTAGATTTTGATAAACAAGTCAGTAAAATATTATCGCCATAATTATAATAAAAATTTTTATATTATTAAAAACCTGACTTTTTTCAATCCCAATATAGTGTATTGTGATTAAAATCCTTGAATGTTCTTGGTATAGTGTGTCGATTTTCAAGAGTTTCAATATCATCAATCATTTTTTCAAGTGGTTTAAAATTCGAATAAACATTTTGTAGCTACAAATGACCTTTAGATTTTCACACGATTGTATAAGCAGGTTTTTAGCCTGTAAATATAGAAATTTGTAAATATATATTTATAATTTATAACAATCATTTATATATATAATAAATTTACCTTATCTAATACGTTGTTTAAGTGATTCAGATTTTGATAATAAACCTCTTGTTCATTATTATTCTCTATTTCATATTCCTCTTCATACTCAACAATCAACTCTTTAATTATTGAAATTTCTAAAGCTTTAGAATTGTAACAATAAAATGGATTTATAAATTCGCCTTCATATGTAGCAATTAATGGATAATTTTCATTACGCTAAACCTGTAAATTAAAAATAAATAATATGTAATAAATAAAATTATAATAAAGCATAATTATAAATATATTACATACCTGTTTAAAAAAATCTGTATTCATTTTATT